TGATAGCTGCCTCGCTGAGACAATCCCGGTGACCTTTAGCTTTTTTTTTTCAAGGATACTTTTGCAGTCCAAGTAATGACACTCTGTAATAGAAAAAGAGGTTTACTCCATAGTCGAGGCATTGTGAAAATGGAGGCATTATCTGATTGGTCAACATTTTGAACTGATAACTGACCAAAAGTTGGTCTCATTTATGTTTAATCCGAAAATGATGAGTAAAATAAAAAACGAGAAGATAGCTAGATGGAGAATGGCACTTTCTTGCTACTCATTCAACGTCACCTATTGTCTTGGTAAGGAGAATGCTGCAGCTGACACCCTTTCAAGAGTATGTGGCCTGGTATGTGGCTTAGGTCTCCAGAACATACACAAGGAATTGTGCCACATGGGTATCACAAGAATGACCCATGTAGTCAATAGTAGAAACTTGCCACATTCTGTCAAAGACGTAAAAAGAATTACAAACTCTTGTCAGATATGCGCAGAAAACAAGCCAAGGTTCTACAAACCTCCTCCAGCAATACTCATTAAGACCACACAACCTTTCAAAAAGCTTCACCTGGATTTTAAGGGCCCACTCCCCTCAAAAACAGAAAATAAATACATGCTCACAATAATAGACGAGTAGTCAAGATTTCTCTTCGTCATTCCCTGTCCAGACATAATGGCTGCAACAGTAATTCAAGGTCTCTGCTTCTTTTCTCTGTTTTTGGAGGGCCCACATATATCCACTCAGATTGTGGATCTGCTTTTATGTCAGGTGAACTCAAGCAATTTTTGCAAGAACGAGGAGTAGCTGTAAGTCAAACGACTCCTTATAATCCCCAAGGCAACAGACAATGTGAAAGACACAATGGCATAATATGGAAGACAGTACAGTTGGCAGCTGCAAATTGCAAGAGTTCGATCTTCGAGTGGGGAAAGTCTCCACCCAGTGGCCTTATACACTATAAGGAATCTATTATGTATAACAATAAATGCTACTCTGCATGAAAGGTTCTTGTTTCCACAATGAAGATCAGCAGGTACCTTACTCCCATCATGGCTTGCACAACCTGGGATAGTTTTACTAAAAAATCATGTTCATCACAATAAACATGACCCATTAGTGAGTAGAACGAACTGACTACACCACGGCACTGTCCGCGTCGATCCTCTCTCTCCTCAAGCGCCGACGCGCCCTTTACTCAAGTAAAGACATCCAGGGATTGACTGGACCTCGAACACCGCTGTTCCATCGGCCTACCTCCAAGCTGTCGCCTTGAAACCTGACAACGCTCTTTCAAAACTACACGACCGAACTACCACAAACGATTATTTGTATATACTTGTGCCAGATTATTTAATAAAATTTGGCTTAAACTTTTACATCCTCGTCTTTGTTGTCCTTGCTTCGATCATATTACCTTATATTATTTTTCCGTTTGCGGGGCTAACAGTCAACCTACTTAGCGCCGCAACAGCAGCAATCTCAGAAAAATTTAATAATTTACAAAAAAATCAGACGTTGAAAACAAATGAAACAGCATGAAAACTTAGCAGATCAGCTTTGAAAAATATGAATTGTAAAAAGTTTGAACATTTAACCCTTTCTTAATACAATTTTTCCAATTATTTATTCTGTAATTTTTCAACCTTTTTTATACAAGGAAATTAAACAATTTATGTAAATTTAATAATCATGCAAAGAATAGTTAAATAAAATTGCTAATGAAAGCTTAAAAGAGGCTTAAGATATTTAACTATTTTTCATGGTTATATTCTATCAACAAAAGTTTACATGATTATTTATACCAGTAGTATGAATTAAGACCAAAATTGTAAAATGTCTCAAAAGATATCTGCCATTTTTTAATTTGGTTCAACTCAGTAAAAACCCTTGTTTTGCAGTAAATAACTTTCATCCACTGAGGACTTATCATAATATAATAAGTATGTTGTATCATACACCAACGTAATTTAAAACAACAGGATATGAAATTAAAAATTACTTACCACAACTATTTTGGTTTTGCTGTATTGGTGAAGAATCCCAACTACTATGAAAAGTCGCCAATATCTTTACAGACTGGAGAGTAAGTGACTTGTTTTAGAGGACTGAGTTTTTTGGGGGTTTTTTTTTTTTGTTTTTCACATTGACTTAATAAATTTTTTTATTACTGGTTATACACCAGCACATATTTTGAATTACCAAAAAGTTAAAAAGGAAATAAAGTAATCATGCTTTGAATATTAGACAGAATCATGTAGATGTAGGGACAATAAGTTTGCTTGTAACTGTTAATCATATTGTGTCATTACTGCAGTAAAATAAAACATAAGAAAGTTTTCTCATAGATAGATATGATATATTGGAACAAGGAGGGTTAATAAATCCAACTAGCTAATATACAGGTTTATAAATGACAAGCTATATACTGATTTCCTTATTGGGGCTGTGGATAAGGAGCAAAGATATCAAAAGGTGTTTTAGCAATGAGAAAAAGAAGCACATCAGATGGCTTAGTTTTCTGTAATTTTTACTCTGCAGGAGATAAACCTACCTATAAAATTGACATAGAATAAAATACTTTCTTTTTTATCATCTGAAACATTTTCTCTGAGTAGGTGGCTATTTACATTGTGGTATTGTTTGCAAATGTTTCACCTAAAAGTATGAATGAATGTAAAGCTTAATCATGAGTCCATTGTCTGGCTGGTTGAAACAAGTAATACATGATGTTGTTCATTAGGATAAATTTCTACTCTCTTTCCATAATGTAAAAATTGAAATGTTCCCAAATCATTAATAATGTACCAGCCAGACAGTGTGTGCCGGTCATGTATGGAGTTTCCTTCGTTCCTTCCGTCTGTCCGTCCATCACAGGACTAATAGGATAATAATTTGAGGTATCAAAAGGTTCACCAAAGTTCTTAAACAGAAACTACAGAAGAGGATTTCCAACAAGTGAGAAAGCAGTAAATATCAATGTATTTGTTGTAAAGTTTAGAGAGAACAGGAACCAGTTCATTTCCTTAGGACAATTACAGATGTACTGTCAAATCCATCAGCTTTTTGGAGATCTTGTTTGGAGATAAGACTTATTTATCATCATATTAATGAGTATGCATTTCATTCTAGGCAATATCAAAGATATTCCTGAAGAGCTGAGTTAGAGAATTTCCAAGCAAAGTATTCTGCTTTATCAGCAGCAGATGACAATATTTCAAGCTGACTGACGAGTGTCGGGATTAAGGATTTACTCTTATTTACTACCCTCTGACAGATCCACAAATAATCTCTAGAACCAAACTTACAAGAGGCTATACAATGTCTCATTCTTTTTAGCAAACAGTGATTTTGTCTCTTTCATAAAACACTTACATAATCATGATTAATTCTCTGAAATGAAAATAGAAGTTACTGATCTGATTCAGGCTTTCTTATCAAATTGCAAAATGAAAGGAGTCTTGAATGGCCATATTTTTACATTTTTTGTTTTTTGCATGAATGTCGGTGTCCCTAGAGCTCCATCCTTAGACCTACCTTGTCTCTAATTTTCACTAACAACTTTACCAACATTATCAGTTCTCAACTCAGATGCTGATGACACAACTATTTGCTCGTGTCTTAATGGTAAGTTTGATTGGTCTGAAAAGCTCAGATTGGTAGCTCATCTCAAAAATAATCTATAATCTGTTATTAACTGGATTTTTATTGTACATTTTAGACAAGTCACTTGAGTAATCTTCTTGTACTTAGAGACCTGGAAGAAAAATTGAAAATCATAATTTTGTCTCCAAATGTGACATAACCTTTTAAAGTTCATAGGCTAAGGTTCAGTTTCTATTTTCAAGGCTTACATTTTAAGAATAAATTTTGCTCAAGATTATGAGTTGCAACAGTAGAAACTGCACTTTCCTTCATTACTTGATGGACACATTAAAAAAGATTTGACTGAATATATTTATGATTCATGGGAATAACTAAAAACAAGTAACATTTGGAAACATATTTTACAATACTGTGTTAATGAGTTCCAAATAAGAAATGATTCTAGAAATAATAAACCATGAAGAAGTTATTCAAGAAATAACTAACTTTAGAAGAAGGCTTGTTTTCAAGAAAATAGATAATATAAATATGATCTGTTTAATTGAAATTCCGAGGAATTAACTGATCCTGCCCTCCTTAATTTGGTTCAGCAGAATTCATAGGAAGAAGATGAAATGTAGATGTGGATGAAAATGAATCAAAATTGAAAGAAATTACTGTAACAGAATTTGATCCAATGTTTTGGGAATTTGAAAAGTTCAAGCATTTTATTATGGATACTAAACTTAACATTGCATGAAACATGAAAGTTCAATGAAATGTGGAGAAAGAATTTCAATGTTACAAGCAGCTTTGCACATAGAAAAAGAAAGAAGTTACAAATGTAATTCAAATGATCTTGGAAAAGTATTTTTAAAAGTAATAAATTTAGTAAAATATATTATTCCTTCTCTTTGTTTATATACTTTAAGCGTATTCTATCAATAAGCTTTTATTGTTTTCATTATTCAGTAAGAATAATGAAAATCTATTCATTATTCATCATGAACCTATTTTCATTCCTCTTTATTGTGATACAACATAAAATCTGATAAAAGGCCAGTTATAAAAATCCAACCACATATTTAAAAAGTTCTGGAACTAATTACTGTATCTTTTATATATTAGTATGTTCCATTTGCATAGTTTTTATTAGCACATAGGTTTCCATGGAAACAATTAACATTTGAATGTAGTTTTGTTGTATGTTGAGTTTAATAATATTAAACTTCAGTAGATAACAAAATATTAATAAATAACAAAAAATTAATCAATCAATATAATGATTATTTGATGAATATTTATTTATTTCACTAAATAATTTCTATAGAGAAATGTCAGTGCCTTCATGATGAGTCGGGCTTGCCATGGTTCAGGATTATCAGATTATTGGCTCTTGTCAAATCAAGTTATCATCTCTTCATACTTTATAGCTGCTCTCCTCCCTATTAAAGTAGAAATTAGAATCATTCATTAAGAAATCTTTTATAACACAAATATTTCTTATTTTGACAAATGTGCAATTAAATAAGTCATGAGAAATCAGTACATGAAATTGTTAAAGAAACTTTTAAATTCTTGGTGACCATTACTATTAATTAAAAATGATATGTAAAATATGTAATCAGAAGCGCCAACAAATATAAGATAAAAAGAGATCAGTTGAAATATTATAGATAAAATTTAGTCAAACCAGCAATAGACTGATTTTTCAATCAAGTTATTATTTATATATCTATTTAACTGAGGCCAATGCTGGAAAAGTGATATGAATGATCATAAAGAAGGATTTCCTCAATTTGGAAGATTAGTACAATATGCCTTCCTGCCTCCATTTGCAACAGTTTGGTCATAAATAATAACAAGTTTAAATGAGTAAATTTCATATAATAGAACTAATAGTTTTAATGTGAGTTTTATTACAATGCATTTTATATTTTGAATATTTTATGAATCATACTTACATTTCATAATTTGGTAAAAAGTAGTCAAGCCATTGAGATTCTCCTAATGAAATAAAAATATTAGATTAATATTGTAGATAAGCTCCTGATATCATGATTTATTTCATCTGTGAAACATACATATATATATATTATAGACATTTTTATGTTTAACATTCTTTTTATAGATACAAGTATTTAAGTAAATGCTCTGTTTATAATAAACAGTATTAAATAACATTTACCGGCCTGAATGTCCGAGAAATTTTCATAGAAAATATTCGTCCTTTGACAGGATTCGAACCTGCATCCTATACGGAACCGTCAATTACGCTGACGTGCCTTAACCGACTCGGCCACAAAGGAGCGTTACTGCTTATAAACTTCAATCTTCCATGAATCTCGTACATTCATAACTGCTCATGGCGTATCAAATGTAAACAAATGACGTCATACATTAAGAATGCTTTATACATGTTCAATGCAAGCAAACAGGGTCTAATAAAGTACCTAGAACTAAGCTAAATGCTCTTTGAGGCTAGTTTGTATTACCCAAACATGATACAGAGATGCATTATCATAGTGTAAGAAACTATAACCATGAGGAATTATGTTAAGCATACTGGGACACAAATGGTTTACAAGATTTCTATCTGTTAGAACACTCAAGACATGTATCAATTTTACTTATGGTCTTTGCAAAGTCCAAGAGAACACATGAGCATGCACATAGCTTCCTCTAATCTCTTCTTGACCATCTACTCAAAAGAATGGGAAATATAACTGACCCAACTAGGTGACATGGTGCCAATCTTCTATGGTCCACTGTTCATTTCTCTGACTCAGCTGACATACAGTAATTGATACTACAGTATTAATAATTGTATCTTTGTTGATCAACAAGTATGAAATCATATGGAATAAAGTGTATACTCTACTGTTCTTGTCAGAATTGGCCAGTGCTCATGTTTTTTGCAACATTTATGGGCATCCATTTTTTTCTTGCTACTCATGTCTTTCCAGAATTCATATGTTCTTGGTATTACCTTCCTACTCTTGCTGGGTAAAACTGAGAACACTTATCAGCATGTCAATAAAATGGTCTATCTTTCTTATCCTGAATATTATTCAACAGCCAATAGTTTTTAAATCCTGTCCACTTGTCACAGCTGCCACAGCTACACTACTTCTTTACATATTATGTCACATATACATCAGCTAGCTGATTTTTTTATGACAAATGGGTGATTGCATATTTATCCAGTATACTGTTATCTGGAGTTTTTCTATATTTCATTTTACCCAAGATACCAAATTTCCTTCTAATTTTGCAGTACACACGTAGGGAATACAGTTAATGTAAGTCAATTAGAGCAGAGATTTTATATTTATGAAATATTAATAATATTAAACTTTGCTTGTAAATTCCTTAAATATCTTGGTTTGCATGAAATTTATAAATTTAATGTCTCTCTTCCTTTCTTACTAATAATCTTACTTAGCATTTCTAATACTCCCCCTTTATATCTTTTCTATTTATTTTTATATATAACATGAATTGTTTTATAACTTATAGCTGAAGGAGCAAATAACGGTCTGTTCTATTCTCTATCTCTCTCATCCTCACTTTCTCCTTTTCTCTCTTTTTAAATCTTATACTTGATGTAATAATTGACAAAAATGGTTATGGGATTGCCCTAATCAGTTAAGTTCTTTCTTTGAATTGTATAACTCTAAGCAATAAATTTCCTGATGGTCATATGGATTATATTTTGAAAAATATTGGTCCTAAAGGAACACAAGAACAGAGAGAAGAAAAGAAATGTGAGAATTAGAAAAACTAAAAACCAATTATTATAATTTATACAAGAAAAAAGTAAAATATTAAACTGTTAATTTGTCAGAAGTGATGGATCAGGTTTACTCAATGCAATGTTCAGAGAAAAAATGTCATAGCAGATACCATTAATGTCTAAATGAAAAACAGCTTGAAATTAATTTTTTCAATAATTTTAAAATGTATTTCAATAAATTTCTGAATGATACTCAATACTTATTTATGAAGATTTGTTATCTAAATTTACATTAATCTTTGAATTTATTTATGTGAGATAAATTCAATTTTAAACAAAAGTAGATTAAAATATTATTCGAATCCTTCTATATTATATTTTTAAATTGAGATCAACCTGAATGAAGATTGAATAAAATGTAGGTAAACTTATTCATAAATGATTAAGAATCTTTTGAATTTTCAATCAAATTTTATATTTTTGAAATTCCCTATTCTTTAAAATCAAATTTACATTTTTTTAAAATATTTTCTGAAATATAATTTGTAGATAACTGACCTTCATAATTGTATCTTCTTGGACACTTTATCCTACAACTTGAATTTACTTTACACCTTCGTTTAACAAAATTGGGTCCAAGTTTAATGTCACAGGAATTGACAGTTTTCCTTTTCACTGTTGGCAGAAAAATAATTGAAAAAATAGCAGCGATTTTAATAAGAAAATAAAACATTAATATACATCATATATTTATTACAAATCTTTTACATATTGAAAGAAGTAAAAAAATATTCAAATTCAAGGAAGGTTTCCTTTTTAACTGATAGTTATTTCTGATAAAATTTATATTTCAAAATTGTAGATATTCAAAATTGACTCAATAGCTTATACTTTGCAGTGGTTATTTGATCTCAATTTATACTTAAAAATTCACATCATTTTCATCATTATAAAATAGTTTCCAATAAAATCAATAAATTTACATGCGATCAACTCTTCTTTTCTTGCTTTAATAATATTCTTATTTAGCAATTTATGTTATTCCTCATTTTTCTCCCAGTGGGATTTTAGTCCACATATATGTCTCAGTACCTGAGGTCTCAGATCAATATGATACTTTTGAATAAAGGAGAAGTTCTGGGTAGATGAGATATATACACTCAGGGTATCACACCTGTATCTTTTTCCCTCTATTATTTGTTCCTTCATTAAGGGTGCTGGAGTTAAACTTTTCTGGGTATTGGTTTTATCCTCCTGACAGTCAGGAATTCAAACCTTTAAGGAATTACAAAGGACCTCAGTAGATTTATTTTTCTGGTGACTTCAATATTTGCCGCAAAGAGTGATTAGTCCACTCAAATATTAACTAGTGGTTATCCTGAAAAATATTAACGACTGGTTCAGTTAAAGTAGTTGTAGCTGTTCTTAGAAAATTAACCCAAAGTTATTTCTGATCTTACTAAAATTATCTAACCAGTGTTATTTCCGATCTTAGTAAAATTATCTAATCAGTGTTTAGAGTTTTTAATGTTCACTTGTCACACAGAGAGTAAGCATATTTTTTTATTGTGAGCAATGTGTCTGATGAAAATAAGATTGTTTCGTGCAACTTCTCCAACTATGATGTATAGAAACATGAAATTGACAATAAAAAAAAAAAGATATTTCTTGACCCCAAATTGACCTACATTTTGTTAACTTAGACAAGATGAAACTACTCTCTTTTATTCATCTGAGAGGATCCATTTTCTCTCCCGTCAATATGAATAATGCTAAGCTCCATGAAAATGACTCCTTGCACTTTCTCAGGCTAACATTTTCTACTGATATGGAGTGGAAAGATTATATTAAATCAATTGCTAGTTTTGCTTTTAGTAAGGTTGATTCAATGTATCATTGTAGACAATATTTCTCACCAGAATCTATCTAACATATTTATAAATCTACCATTCATCCATGTCTTGAATATTTTAACCAGATCTGATCTGTTGCTGCTGCTAAGTATTTAGAGATTCTTGATGAAATCTAAGGAAGAATCTGCAATGGTATATTGGCTTCAGTCACTTTTCCATCACTGTGATGTAGCTTCCCTGTGCCTTTTCTTAAATACTTTCATGTTAATTGTTTTGATGATACCTAGACTTTATGAATTTATGTGCAGTGTTAGATTGGTGGCAAGGTCTCACCATTTTAGAGTTGAATTGGCTCTCTGTAACCATAAGTTCTATGCTAACTAGTAGCATAGCTATAGTGTATGCCACCCTGTGCAGCTCTTGAGGTTGCTGCCCCCGACAAAAGTACATATTTTACAGTGGTCACTTGTAAAGTTTTATATATATATATATATATATATATATATATATATGTGTGTGTGTGGGAAAAGTGTGTGTATATATATATATATATATATATATATATATATATATTTGTCTGACGATTGCAAAAGTGTGAAAAATCCAGGGTCACAAACTCACATCAATCCAACCAAATATATATATATATATATGTATATATATCTTACTTATTATAAAACGCAGATTGTGTGTGTGTGTGTGTCTGTGTGTGTGTACGTTTATATATTGGATCAGGTTTCCTACATTTTTCAACTAATTTCTACGTAAAATTACCTTGCGGTGGTTCTAATAGCGCCAAAAATTGGAAAAACAATTTGAAACAATTTGAAAACACGATTAAGAGGCATCACAAGAATGAAAGGGGGACAACTCATATCGAGTTATACTTATTATAAAACCCAGGTTCTTTTTGTGTGTTTGTGTGTGTGTGTGTGTGTGTGTGTGTGTGTTCCTTTATATATGGGATCGGATTTCCTACATTTTTCAACCGATTTCAACAAAACTTCACTTCTTTTTATTGGCAGGTAGTCTTTCTTATTGTCTTGCACACTTTTTTCTTTATTTTTTCATTCAGAATGCTTTAAAAATTCCATTTACAAAACAATTGTTTATAATAAAATTCTATTCAATCGGTAGACTCATAACGATTGAAAACAATGTTTTTGTTTGAGTTTGGGTTTGACCAATTCGTAAAAAAAACAAAAAAAACTAATTAAGACATGCATGTCCGTTAACCTTAACAATAATCTTTGTCAATTTTATTTTTCAGTCTTTATGATGGCTGATACTTGATCTATCTCTTACTGTTTACATCCCGGCAACGCCGGGCTCTACTACTAGTATATATATATATATATATATATATATATATATATATATATATATATATATATATATATATATATATATAAACTAGTTTGTACCATTATAACATTGCTTTCACATACACAAATATAGTATGCATTAAATACAGCAAATACACTTAAGATTTATCAGTAACAGTTAAAAAGCAAAAATGACACATAACCTAAAATGTTAGAGCCAATCTTTATTTCTAAAATTAAAATTATAACTTTCAACAAAGTTGTTTTTTTGTTGGCAAATTCTTCAATGACATTGATAAAAACTATTTCATCTATAAATCGTCATTCTATAGATAGTATGCCAAGGTTTCTCAACTGCAAGGTGCTCATAGTAGATCTTAAGTAATTCTTGATTAGTTTTAGTTTCATAAAACTTCACTGACAGGTCGCAACACTAAGAGCAATTTTGAGGAAAATCTGCCACATTAATACTATATTTGGAACTGAAAATGTTCAAGGCGTCCTTATTTTCACATCTGTATTCTGTCTTTAATAAAGCTAACAGCAATAAAATGCAGTGTTTTTAAAGAGAACTCATTTTTTATCAATGCCATTGTGTTTGTGACACTCATATTTATCACCCAAAAGGTTCAATAGGGTAAGGAAGGAATATTTCTCAGCAAGTTTATTGAAATCTGTTGAAATCTCAAATTTCTTGGATCATTTTGTTCAGTGAAGAAATTCAACATCGTTTGGTAAAGCATATCTTCCGATCCCTCAGCAAACATTTGTTTCTTCTTTTCTCCATTACTCACTAGCTTGTCTATGTTTTCAACTAGAAATATTTCTTATGCCTTGAGTTTTATATCACATTGTTGTATGTTCAATTCTTTGGATTTGGATGTAAATTTGCATGTTTCTAGAAGGTCAGTTCCACACAGGCCAAGAATATACAAAAAGCAAAATGATTGCAATGCACTAAGAAAAACCCCAACATCTGCCCTGGTAGCTGTATTTTCTTCTTCACTAGTTATTTTTTCTACGGCATTTTAGATATTAGAGAAATGTTTGTTTACAACACTTACAGCTTCTCCCCTCACACTCTACCATTTTTCTATTATGGACTTGTCACTTTGATTAGTGACTGAAATGAGAACATTCCAGCAATAAGTTCAGGAAGAAAAATTGCAAAACATGTTCTATACATCCAAAAAAGGTAACAGAATTCACAGCAACTGAAACTATGTGAATATCTGCCAAATTCAGTGAGTGATTTGTACAAGCTACAAATTCTGCTTTCTCATTAATTTCCTTGATACGTTTCTGACTACCAGCCATCACTGAAGCATTATCACATGGTTGCATTCTACAATTTTGAATATCAATTCTGTCCTATTTTTTTTCTCAAAATTATTATTGAAATATTCTCAGTAGTTTCACCTTTTGTTTCCACAACTTTCACTTTATCTATATTGATCATAACATAGTATAAAACTTGGTTCATTTGATCTTTGTATATTACACAATAAGTTGTAATATACACAATAAAATTGGGCAGAACGTTTGTTCCAACCTGACATGTGAAACCTCAAAAGTGAGGAATTAATAAATTATTTAGTTTTCAACATTACAGGAGAACTGCAATGTTGATAATCTAGTTACTTCCGTTTTTGATAAAAGGAAGGATTACCTGGCCTTTGAGGAAGTAGAACCTTGAGAAAAAAAATCGGCCCCTCATGTTGAATAAACTCTTTTGCATTTTGAATCTGAATTTATATTCTTAATATTCATTCTTATTCTACTTGTTTTAATGAATATTTTAAAGTAAAAGTTTCTTACATATACAAGAAATAACTTACCTTTTAACATTTTTTTGTTGTTGCCTTTGCGTCTGGGTCTGTCTGTCCTTGGACACACAACCTGACACCGTTTACTTATTTTGCATCCAGGTCTTACACGAATCTTTCTTTTACCATTGTTTCTACATGCAACTCTACGTCTAGCTATCAGTTAAAAAAAAAAGAGAATAGCAACATTTTTAAAAGAAGATGGAGAATAAATGCACACCATAAAAAAAAAACCCAAAAAAAACAGCATCTTCAAAACATGGAGAATTAATTAAATGATCAAAGTTTAACTAAGTTTATAACTGGCAGTCGTTTATTATTTTAAACATATATTTTGGCTATTTGGTCAATAACAACAAAATTATTGACTTTTCTAGCAATGACCTGTTACTTTATTACAGAAGTAGATATTTTGCATTAGTTTGAAAGAATTTTTCCCCTTGACAAGAATCTAGAACCTGTTTTTATAAAGCAATTGCAGTTTTCCTAAATGAAGTACAATATTCATTAAATGATTGCATAAAAACAGATGCTGTTTTGTTGTTGTTGAACTTGAAACTTGGCAAAAGTGACCAGAATAAGCAAAGCTTCATAAATTTATAAAAGTGGACTTTTATGATTTGGTTCATCAAAGTGTTTAAATGTAAATCGTCTTTCTTGTGATATAACTGATAAGATTCTAATCTTGCAATGGATTATTAATTTTTTTTTTAACTGTTGTTTTCTTTTATTATAGTAATTACATATATAGGTTTTCTTTTATCATAGCAATTATATTGAATATTATATATTATTATAGTAATTGGCAAGAATTTATCATTATCCCTGTATTGTTCTTCATCCTGGCCTTACTTACTGGGAAACTTTGACATGAAAACTATAAATCTGTAAATGGATTAACCATGATTTCAATTTGTAAATATTGTTTTGTTTTTTTATTCTGAATTAAGTTAATAAATGACATAAAGAAGTTTCATAAAAGAGCAAATATTGGTGAGAGGAATGAAAGGCAGGAAGCTGTGGAGAAGCATGACCACCCATTTCCTGAAAGGATAATAGTATATACAGAGAATTTTTTTTTTTAAATCTTTGAATTACTTACTTTTATGCCTAACATATATATTGATATTCCATGGAATTTACAAATTACTTGCCTTTTATGACTATAATTATTTAAAATTTAAACCTTGTAAAATTGAAAACAATTTGGAACTATAAATATTTCTACCTTGATATAAAGCCAGTTCCATCTTGGGACACAGTAATGAACAGTTATAATCAAAGGTACACTCAGGTTTGTCATTGATATGTGTTCTTCCCATATATGTACACTTTGACACTATTGCTGAAAAGAAAAAATGAAATTGATATGTAATAATTTCATTACTTATTCATATCACTTGATCAAAATTGATAATCAGTCAAATCATTTATGAATATTCCATTTTGGACATACATAATTTGATAATACATTTAGTTCCTCTTTAGACTACCTACCACAGAGCAATAATACGCTGGTAAGTCAAACAAGTTATTGGTTATAATTGATTCTAACTGAAAAAACTTGACTAATCTAGTTAAATATATCCATCAATAGCTCATGTAGGAGAATCTAATTGCAAGTTAAGTGTTATAACATGTAGTATTGCAGCAGTAATTTCAAGTTGATTAGACTTACTACTTACCAGATTCTCCCCTCATGTGGCAACTCATGTTTATATAGAGTGTCTCTCATCCATATGCAAATGATCAAACTCTTATATATACATATTATTATAACTCATTGAATCAAAGTGATCCTTTGTCAATCCTTTGCTTCTTCTATACTCTGATCCTTTTCCTTGCTCTATTCTCTCTCTCCTATAGATTTTATCACATTTTTATTTTTTGGAGATCTTGATCTATCTCATGTTTTTCTATATATCTAGTCTTCTTTCAATTGATCTTTCTTCAAACTTTCATAACTGTTTTGGAGATTTACATTTTCATCCTCCTCATTTTCATTTGTTTCCATTGGTATATTATTTTCATTATGACTATCATACTTTGTATCCATTTCTATATTTTTTGTCTTTGGATCGTATTTGATCTGTATGGTTGAGTATAAACCTCCCTTGTTTTGTTTTTTATTTTGGCAAGTATTATGACTTTTTGCATTAGAATATTTGCTTTTTTCAATTGGAATCCTTATTGTAGCAAACTGTCACAAATTCACAATGCTGTAAGTCTAAATAGTGACAAATCCATTTTCCAACCTTGTCAGCTTCTTCTACACCTTTTTTCCACTGCCACTGAATTTATATGCCTTCAAAGGCAGGTATACTAATCTGCAGCACATTTGGATTATTCTACCCTTCAAGTTGTCACAATGCAGTCCACATGCACTTCTGCTGTTCAAAGTCAATGCTGAAATTAGTCTTATCAATTTTGAGTGCTAGGTATGTCATCCATGGTGAAGCACAATTCAACTGTTCACTTATTGCAGACTCCATCCAACAATTTGATAATATCCATCCCCAGAAGAAGGTCTTTCCGTCTGCTGTGAGAATTTTACCCTCCCATTTCCAAAGATGACAAACTCACCTGCTCATGAGCATGGGAGAGCAGCCAGTGCCCACCAAAGCTGCACACTGTATTGCATCTACATGCAAGATATGTTTTGTAGAGGCAGCCTCTTGCCAGTTGATTCTGCTCATCTCACCTGAAGCATATAATAATGTTACCTGAGGGATTCTCCATGTGGTTTGCACACTATTTGTGTGGAAGCTGTAACTGGTTCATCTTCTGAAGTTTCATCTTTGATGGTCATCAGTTGTTTTCTTTTATAAATGGTAGAATGTGTTTGTCTTGCTTTTTCTTCCTATAATGAAGCCAATGGAATAGATAGGTACATGCCTTTTTGAAGGTAAGTAGATTTCTTCTGCATACTTATTCTTTTTGAACTGCATCCTTTTGTTTATAGAATATAACATTGTTAGGAAACTGATCTCTAGTCTTCCAGCATGGCTCTATAATTTAGAAGCAGTCCCAGTAGAAAGGTTTTTGAAATGTTATTTAGTGACTTGACATATATAAAATATTAGGTGACAGAATAAAAATACCAAATGGAAAAAATTATATCAGACTGGTCAATCAGATTGGAGCCTGATAAAAAAAACGTTTGGTTTAAAAATATTAACTAAAACCTATAAAATTCTTAGGAGAATGACATCGGTGAAATTTGAACCCGAAATAAACCTAGTTAGATTTTGTAAATTCAGTACAACTGTTCCACCTCTCAAAGCACTTTTTCTCCTTAAAAATAATCATCTCATAACAGATCTAACAAAAAAAATACATGTAAACAAAAAAATCACATTATTCATTTTGCAACTTTCTTTGAAACACACCTTGCTATTCTTAATCTTCGTATTGAGAATTGTGCTAATCAGGTTTCTTCTTGGGTTCAAGTTGGCATCAGTATTTTTGTACCTTCTCAGAAATACCATGTAGAACATTTATATATTTTGAAAAATATCAGCAATCACATTGTCGCATTTGTATTTATTTGTTCATCAAAATTTCCAAATATAACTGAATGATAGCACACTGTATATTGAAAAAAATATAAAATTGAATATTTCTTCTAAATTTTAGGATAGAATATTTATTGTTGTTTGAATAAGTAACCATTGTTATATCAATTTATTTGCCAGTAGAATGAATTGAAAATAATACAAATATGTACATGATACTTGTTCAATGAATGCAAGTATTAAAAGAAGAGAGAAAAATTTGAGTTGGCAGATTATGCATTATTATTTAACTGTATTTGTAGTGATACTAGCAAATTAGTATGCATAATTTGCATAAGCATAAGTGAACACTCATGTAAGTGGTCACTGAGAATAACAAAGTAGACGTACGAGCTTAGCGACTTACTAGTACTAAACTTGGACTTCACAACAATGGCATCGCCGATAGGATATCAATTGTCTCTGGAAGATCCAGATTTTGTGGATACATGGATTCGTTGTTTCGCTGCCACTGTGAGAACAAAAAAGTTGAAAGACTACAAGGAAAAGGGAGGCGAAAATGAAATCACGGATTTATTTTTGGCTACAGCTGGATGTGAGGCGATAATGAAAGTCTTCACCATGGCATATCCCTCAAATTTGGAAGACCTGACTTTCAAAAAAATAAGTCAGATTATAAGAAGAAATATGAGACCCAAGAAAAGGCTGGTAGTGGCAGAAAGAACGAAATTCATGTCGATGAAACAAGAAATTGACGAATCAATTATAAAATATCTACACCGTCTACAAAATGCGAGTAGATATTGTGAATTTGAAAAACTTGGACAAAACGAACAGACTATTGAAGAGGACTTGTTTCAATTAAGATTAATTGAACGTATGTGCAATGCATCACACCGATATAAAATAATGGAACAATTACAAATAGGAAATATGTCCTTAAATACATGTATTGACTTTATTCAGCAACAAGAACTAATACAGAAATACAACCATCATAAAAGTCAGACCGGCGAACAATTATTCGCTGATACATACATGTTAAAGAAGATAAAAAAGTGTTTGTATTGTGGACGTGAACACGAAATAAAAAAGGAAAAGTGTCCAGCATTTGGAAAAATTTGTAATAATTGCTTAAAAAAGAACCACTTTCAAGCAGTGTGTAAATTAAAAAAGAAAAACGTGGAAAGAATTGAAGAAAACGACACCAATAGGGAAGATTTTACATTAAAAAATAAGAGTATAAAAAAATTGAACATAAGAAAAAAGATATAGTAAAGGTCAAAATTAATAACTGCAATTTAGATATGCAAATGGATACTGGGAGTGAAGTAACACTCATACCAAAAAAATTTTGGGAACGCATTGGTAAGCCACCTTTACGAAAAAAGCAGTTTACAACTCCGCCAATTTGATGGGTCGGTTATAAAAACATTAGGATACTTTGAAGGTTCCTTAGGTTAAAAAAGACAAATTTGAAGTAATACCTATTGTTGTTACAAGTTGCGAAAAGAACCACGGACTTATTGGAAACGACATTTTAACATAAATTTACCAAGTTAATTAATGAAATAAAAATGGAAAAAACTAGAAAGTTAAAAAACTATGAAGCAAGTTTAAAAATAAAAGAAATTGTTTTCCTCTTATTATGAGGCACGCAAATTACCAGTATATTTATTGCCATTTGTAGTGACAAAACTACGTAAATTAGTAGAACAAGACCTTCTTGAACATGTTCCGCCTGGAGGTAGCAAGTGGGCATCCCCGATTGTAGTGTTGAGGAAAACAGATGGCGATTTATGTATTTGTGGAGATTACAAAATAGGAGTAAATCACAAGATATGCTTGGATTCATATCCCATACCCAATGTTGAACTTGCATTACATGCACTGGCAGAGATGACTGTTTTTTCAAAAATAGATTTAAAAATGGCATACCACCAAATACCAATAGACAAAAACTTCAAAGAAGTAACCACGATAAATACTCCAATAGGTTTACTAAGATGGAAAAGGATGCCATATGGAATAAAAATCGCAAACGCCATATTTCAAAGGGCTATTGAACAGGTTTTAGGAAATGTACAAAATATGATTTGTTACCAAGACGACATATGCATAGGAGCTACTAATGAAAAGGAATTAAAAGCGAAAACTGACTTAGTCTTGAATAGATTAAGAAATTCTGGAATGATGATAAATGAGAAAAAATGCGTAAGCAATTCTAACAAAATATCTTTTTAAGGTTATTCCATTTCAAAAGAAGGTATATCACCAGACCAAGCATTGATTAAAAAAAATACTAAAAGTAGCTACACCTACAAATAAAAAAGAATTGAAGTCTTTTTTGGGATTGGTAAATTTTTACAGGCGATACTTACCAAAATACACAGACTTGATGGAACCGTTTGCAAATTTAAGAAAAAAGAATGTGGAATTTATGTGGTCAGACGAACAGCAAAAAGCTTTTGAAAGATTAAAAGAAATTATGTCAAAGAAACCTGTAGTGAAAATTTTTGATCCAAAAAAGGACATAACACTCACTACACATGCAAGTGAACATTCAATATCGGGAATATTATCACAAGAAGGACATCCGATAATGTATTTATCGAGAAGATTAATGAACACTGAATTCAATTACTCGAACATAGAGAAAGAAGCATTGGCTATTGTGTGGACAATTACCAGAGCCCGACAATTTTTAATTGGGAAAAAATTTCTGTTAAGAAGTG